AGAATACTGCACAGTAATAAAAAGAAAAAATATCGAGCATAGAGTCAAATCTCAAAGTAATTATGCTATGGGCCGAACTGTACAGCAAGGAAGGCGCTTGCCTTGCACGCTGCTGGACTGTGCTCTGTCCCTGGCACCTTGTACAGTCCCTTAACCCTGCCAGTAGTGAACCCTGAGCCCAGAGCCAGGAATAAGCTCTGAGCATGACTGGGTGTGGCCCCAAACAAACACAACAGCAAGGACAACAACAACAACAAAAAAAACTCTAGGTGGAGCCCTGGGGCAGCTTGGTAGCCTGGCAGGGATGGGATGAGGCAGTGAGTTCCATCCCAGCGCCTCCCTGCCGAGACATACAGACATTTGGGCAATCCAGGCAGCACTGCTATTTGGGATCCCTGGCCCCATAAACCCGCCAGATGTGACTCTGGCTGTGTTTCAATCAGATGTGTGCTGGCCCGAGAAACTCCTGTGTGCAGTGCCAGTGAACACTGCAGTGCCTCCCCTGTTTATCACAGCAACAAAAAGGCAAGATAGGGCTAGAAAGACAGTATAGAGGGTAGGGTGTTTACCTGGCACACAGCTGATCTGGGTTCAACTTCCAGCACCCCATATGGTCCCTCATGATCTACTGATTCAGCCAGGAGTAAGACCTTGAACACCACTTGGTGTTGCCCAATGACAAACCCCACCCTCCTCCTCCTTCAAAAAAAAAAAAAAAAGGAAGGAAAGGGAAAAACTTTTGTGTTGTTTATTTTTGGTTTTGGGGTCACACCTGGTTGTAATCAGGTTAATTCCTGGCTCTGCACTCAGGGATCACGACTGGTGGTGTTCAGGGCACCATATGGGGTACCAGGGATTGAATCTTTATCAGCAGTGTGCAAGGCAGACACCTTCCCTGCTGTATTATCTCTCCAGCCCCAGAAAATAAAAAAAATATGTGGGATTAGAGAGAGAATACAGTGGATTATTCACTATAGGGGACCCTCTTATGATTCCCTGAGCACAGAGCCAGGATTAGCACTTGGCAAGGTATGGCTCCAAAACCCAAGTAAATAAAGATAGAGCTAGACCCACAGCTAACAGAAAACAGCCCAGAAATCCACCTTAATGTCTCTGGTTACTGAGTCAAGAAACAACAGTCAGGGGAGTTAGACTCTCCTGCAACTAGTTCAGGGAGCCTAGCAATAAGCCTTGGTACAAATTGGCCCCAACAGCCAGAACTTGATTAATGACTGACAGCATCCCTCATTTTGGCCCCTGCTTTCAACTTGAACCAACCAGAGAAAGGCAAATATGTACCCCAAATCAATCACATACGATGCACTCTGACTTTACTTTGGCCGCCCCCAGATTTCCCATACAAATAACCCCCAATCAGGACCACACCTGAGGTCTTTCTTTTCCCCACTATTAAACTTCCCACTCAGAGCCTGCCTTTGAGTATCTGCCAAGTACAACTGATGGTGGCTGACCCCACCTATGCAAGGTCCCAATGGCCTCTGCCTCTTCCCATTGGGTAGTCCACATTTGAAACAGCTTAATTAAGGTGTCACTGACAATAAACTATGACTTGAAAGTGTAACATTTAGTAAGCTTTGACATGTTCATTTCTGTAGAATCACCACCACAAGGGGCTATGCATACCAGAACCCTGAGTTTGATCCCCAACATCATATGGTCGTCCCACTGAGATCAGCCGCTGAGCACCAGAGCCAGGAGTAACCCCCAGAGTGGGCAGGGATTACCACGAGAGTGATCTTTGTCACCGCCCAAGTTTACAATTGTTTTTTAATAATTTCTTCCTGTTCTGGACCCCTCTCGGTCCCTACCCCCATTCCTAAGTAACCTGATGTGATCACTAGAGATCCCTAATTGGCATTTAAGAGTAGGTGACATGGAAATAGTTTTTGGTTTGGGAGTTTGGGCCATACCCCAGAAGCTCAAGGGCTACTCCTGGCTCTGTGGTCAGGGGACCATGTGGTGATGGGAAGTGGCCACATGCAAGGCAGGCGCCTTTTCTCCCTTCCTATCTCTCTGACCCTAGGCTCTCTTTACATGTGTGGAGTCTGGAAATCTCACACCCCACTTGGTGCTACTGTTTCTGGAAAACTGGCAGTGCATGTTAAAGTTAAATATGTCTGTTGTCTATGAACCAACATTAACACAAACACAGGTTTTATCTCTGATGACAGCGAGTGTTTATGTATCCCCAAAATGACAGAAGAATTTCATAGCTCCAGTTGGGAAAATAGCACAAGAATGAGGCACGCATGTTCCCCAGCACCACACAGCAGCCCAAACACCCTGGGTGTGGCTCCACTGCATCCTTGTGCTTTGCATTGGGCCACCTGCCCTGGTCAGCTGTCCCTGGGAGAAGCCCTCTGAGCATGTTTGGAGGCCCCAAGTAAAGGAATATAATAGCTAAGTATAGGCAATAAGTCAAATGTTTATCAACAGTAACATTTATAAATTGGAGTATAAAGTCACGCAATGCTTAATGACAGGAATATGTTCTGAGAAATATGTCATTAGGCAGCTTTGTTGTGTGAATATAGAAAGTGTAATTACGCCAACCTAGATGGTCTCCTTGCCTTTCACACACCTAGGGTCGATGAGTTAGCCCAGAAGTTCCCCGATGTATTTAACCTGCCTCCTCCTTTTCAAAAAAAAAAAATTACTCATTGGCCCCCTGGAAATCTGTCTTCACTAAAGAAACAAGCAGAGGGTCCTCCAGAAGGCTACTGTTGCCCCCCTGAAAAGGACCAGCACCCCATCTAATTTGGGAAAAACTGAGACAGCCTCTTAGATTTGTTGTTTTCTGTCTGTGTGTTCTGCCATGGACCTACATGGTGTTAGGCAAAATATGATTATTCATAAAATGGAGCAACGAAGATTAAGTGCCACATGCAGCGGTTTAGGTAAATATTATATACATAGGATTGAATGAGAGAAACTACATTCAAAAGTTAATTTGGTCTAGATTGTGGCTATGTTGGTATATACATAGTGTATACACCCAAGTTTTGTGTATATGTTTGTATATACAGAAAACTTTTTGTTCTGTTTTTGTTGGGGGCCACACTCAGCCAGTGGTGCTCAGGGCTTATTCCTGGTTCTGCGCCCAGGGGTCACTCCTAGGAGACTTGGGGGAACCATATGGGGGTGCTGAGGTTGGAACCCGGATCAACCACATTCATGACAAGTGCCTGCCCCCACTATACCATCACTCTGGCTCCATTACACGTAACTTAAACCTCAATAAAGAATAGTAGGATTTTTCAAACTTTACTTTCTTTTAAAATTTCTTCTCTATCTGCCTGTCTGTCTCTCTCTTTTCCCGTCCCCCTTCCTTCCTTCCCAGCTCTCTCCTTTTGTTTGTACCTTTCCTTAAAACTACTTCTCCCAAGAGCTTTTCCTGTTTCTGTAACTGAAATCCAGTTAAACTTGCTTCTCAGGTACTGTGGCTTAAAACCCTGGCAGTCCTTTAACGTTTGTCTCGGGTCAGTCCATAAAACTTGTTGACTCTTTGGAAATTTCTCCCAGCCACATCTCCAAACCACTTCTGTTCTAGAATTTTAGCCTTGATCACAAGTTTGAGCTATTGCCAAGAACCTAATTGGCTTCCCTGATTTTTAGATCTCAAAACTTTGTTACATCTCTACAACAAAGCTTTCTTTCCAGAACAAGGGTGTAGTACTTGATTGTTTTCCTATTTAATCTCCAAAGCCTTGGGCGTGTGTGTTTGGGGGTGGGGGGCTCCCATTTTCTGCACACTAGGTGCAGACCAGGCGCTCACTTTCTAGACTCATGTCTGGCCACCCTAACCATGTTACTTAATTGTCCATTCACAGTCCTTTGCAAATGAGTACTTCATACTTCTAAACCCATTTTTGCTTCTGTGTTTTTGTTCATGCTTTTCTCTGTCTAAATGTTTCCTTCTTCATACCAGCATCCCCAGCTCAAATTATGTCAGCCTTGGGAAATGAGTTATTATGTCCTTCATGAAATATTTGAACTTGAAATGATATCCAAATGTTTCTATTTGTGCTTTTCTTTTCTGGAGATAGGGCTTGCCATGTAATCCAATTCTTTTTCTTTTGTTTAAAGGTTAATTGAATATTTTTTACTCACAGATAAATAAGCTTTAATCTAGTATGACTGCCAGACTACATAGCAGAAAGCCATTTTCTTAGTTTTGCACACTGATGGGAAGGTTTCTACTATATGGAAAAGGTCATATATGTCTATCATATACATATATATATATACACACACATATACACACACACTATACTGTCTCAAAGCCTTTCAGACTGGAGAGAGAGCACAGGAGTAAGGTGCTTCTTGCCTTGGATGTGGCAGACCTGGGTGCACCCTTTAAGGTCCCCTAAGTCCACCAAGAGTGATCCCTGAGCAGAGCCGATGTAGCCTCAAAACAAAACAAAAAGTGTCACATGATTATTTCATACTGATACAACTAGTATTAGTATCTGAGAAATAGAGGTTGCTTTATTCTTTGGCACAGAGTAGTCCCTGGGCCTCTGTTCCAACCCCCTACACTCTAAAATGAAAACTAGTATGTCATTAGATTCTTAAAAGGGGTCCACCCCCAGTGTTAAATAGATTTAGTTGTATTTTGAAGGAGTGTCAATGAACTCACTCATTTTATGTTTTATCAGTTTTTATCTTGTAAAAAGTTCATCTTCAGTGTGCTGGGTGATGTGTTTTTCTTTTAACAAATAAGTTATGTTTCACATTATAAAATTCAGGTTAAAATGTCTTATGCTTCCTGTATTTTCAGTTACAAGATTTAGCTCTTTGAAATTTATTTTCTTCACAGAATAGTATCTTTGGTATCTTTAGTTAGGGAAAGTTTTCTTCTTGAAAATGGCTACATGACTATTCTTGCAGCTAGTAGACAATGCCATCTCTGTATGCTTTGATGTTCTAATTGCTTTTAAATTATATTAGTCATATTTTAACACATTTTCACATCTTAGATTCCTATAGGCAATGGAAACTGATCTCAATTCCCAGGACAGAAAGGACCTGGACAAGTTCATTAAATTTTTTGCCCTTAAGGTAATGCATTCATTCTTTTTTCCTCAAACTGTTAGAAATAACTTTCATGCCTCTCCCTTTTTGGAAATACAGCATAACAGCTTGCAGCTTGCCCATTTTAAGGGATACTTCTGTCTGTTGTAAACCAAACTGTGAAGGTTGGGGGCGGTACTGGGGGTGTAACTAAAAAGTAACTTCCAATTTCTGCAGCTACTTGTTCAAAAAAAATTTTTTTTCTTGCCTGCAAGTCTCTTGCAGAAATGTCAAGCTATTATGCCAGGTTATTGGCACAGAATGTTCCCCTGGGGTGGGAACAAAGACTGTGGACTGGAATGGAAGACAGTTGGGGCATCTCTCCCTAAGCTGCGACTAATTCCGAGATGTCTAACTTGCAATTACTGTTCCCATGTGGGTAAAGGAGAAATGAAAATTGAATTTTGGATGCTCTGGAAGTTACATTTTCCTAAATCTGAAAATCCTTCCCACCTCTCCTGCCTCTTCCTGTCAACCATTGCTAAGCAGGAGCAATATATGCAGTAGTTTCTGGCTGTAAAATTAGTTGGAAGCCTTTTGCCATATGGACCAAATGATGGGAATTCTTGTGGAATTCTTGTTTAAAGTCTACTATGATTACATAACTGCGTGGCAGTGACTATTTAAACCCATGGTCGGACTTGCCACGCGCAGCGTTCCTTCTGCCATGTGAGTCTAAGCATCCAGTGCTACATCCTGCAGTTGATTGTCACTGTAACCTCAGGAATGTTTACAATATTTTTTTATAGTTTTCTTTTTTAAAATATGTCCTTGAATGTTTTAAATACTTTTCTAAATTAGTGTAATTACAGTCTTTGATTTCTTTTCTTTAGACAGTCCAAGTGATTGTGCAGGCTAGACTTGGTGAGAAGATCTGTACTCGTTCATCTTCGTCTCCAACTGGATCAGATTGGGTAATATTTCCCTTCTCTGCTAAGGAATAGTATACTGAGATATGTGACACAGGAAATCATAGTGAAATACTAAGGAAGACTATAATAATGTTAAATCATAACCTGAAAATTTCTAATACCATTTGATCTGTTCACTTGGAAAATATGTTTTTTTATTGAATATTCTAGCTTTATTTGACTTACAGATTTCTACTGTGATATGTGAAAGAACTTAGTCTTTAGAAAATAAAAAAAAAATGAATTTAGGGGCTGGAGAGATAGTGCAGTGGGTAAGGTACTTGCCTGAATGCGTCCAAACTGGGTTTGTTCCTCTGCGTCCCATATGGTCCCTTAAGTATCACCAAGGGTAATTCCTGAATGCAGAGCCAGGCAGTAACTCCTGCTCCCTCACAAAAAAAAAAAAAAAAAAAACCCAAAATTTTGATCTTTGTTTCTTGGGTAAGTAATTTTGAATTTGAAGCCACACTCATCAGAGCTCAGGGGACTCCTAAATCTGGCTCAGAGGTAACTCCTGGCAGTACTTAGGGAATGGTAACAGTACTAGGGAATGAACCCAGTAGTTCTGCATGCAAAGTATGCACTCAGCCCTTTAAACTGTCTCTCCATTCCATAGTTAACTTTTTGGGGAAAGTTTGACATTTTTGGGTTTTTTTGTTGTTTGGGGGGGCACACCCACTAGTGTTTAAAGGCTGTTCTTGACCCTCTCTCCAGAGGTTCCTTTCGGCAATACTTGGAACCATATGTGGTGGGCGACTGTACATGGTGCAGGGTTCTGGCTCATGCCAGGCAAGTGCCGCCTAGTTAGCTTCTTTAACTTGAAATTTGGGGCTTTAGTCTTCGATCAGGGACTTTGATTTCTTATGGGGCAAGGAGAAGAGTGCAGGTCGTGAATCAGAGCAGAACCTGCATTACCCACAGTGCCCTCATGCCATAGGAAGTTTAATTTTCCATAATATCTCTTATTAATGCTTAACAGAATTCCTTTTGCTTCTTAGTTCAATTTAGCAATCAAAGACATCCCAGAGGTTACACATGAAGCTAAGAAGGCACTGGCAGGGCAGCTGCCCGCTGTCGGGAGGTCTATGTGTGTGGAGATCTCACTTAAGACTTCTGAGGTAAGGATATGGCCAGAAAGAGTGTGTGTGTGAGGGGGTGGTAAGGTTTTAGCCAGGAAGTGTGTTTGTGTGTGTGTGTGTGTGTGTGTGTGTGTGTGTGTGTGTGTTAAAGTTACGGCCAGGAAGTGTGTGTGTGCCACTGGAGACAGGAGGTTTTATTGATGCTGATGCGGTAGGAAAGGCCCTTAGTAGCCCCGGAAGGGGGTGGTGGGTGGAGCTGGGTCCTACTCCACTGTCAGTTCAGGATAACACAAAAAGAGACAGAGTAGTTTGGACAGAAATATCAGACAGCTAAAAACGTTGTTTGTTTTGATTTGGGTGTTTGTTTGGTTTTTGTGAAGCATGATAGTTCTTCTGATACTTATTTTTTTAAATGTGGTGGGGAAAGAAGAGGAGAAGTATATGTTTGAGAGAACACAGGCTTCTCCAGAGTGGAAATAAGCAAGTAAAGAAACAGACAAACAAGCAAGATACATGTTCAAGAACACCGGCTTAAAGAGCAAGCCTAAAAAGATTTTTAAATTTCTTAATTTGGGTCTCAATTTAAAATACCCCCTATAAAATTAGAAGATATTTGAATTTGGAATACCAGCCTTCTGAAGAGTGATTTGGAATTAAAAATCTTAGCAGGAGGGGCTGGAGTAACATAGGATGTTTGTCTTGTATGAACCCAACCTGGGTTCAATCCCTGACATCCTATGGTTTCCCAAATCCTGCCAGGTATGGTCCCTGAGCACTGCCAGTCACTGTCACTGTCCTTCCCGTTGTTCATCGATTTGCTTGAGCGGGCCCAGTAACGTCTCCATTGTGAGACTTTTTGTTACTGTGTTTGGCATATCAAATACGTCACGGGTAGCTTGCCAGGTTTTGCCGTGCGGGTGAGATACTCTCGGTAACTTGCCGGGCTCTCCAAGCGGGGTGGAAGAATTAAACCCAGGTCGGCCAAGTCGGCCGCGTGCAAGGCAAACACCCTACTGCTGGCCTATTGCTATTGCCCTAAAACCAAAACAGCAACAACAAAATATCCTCACTGGGCCAAAGATGGTTCAGAGGTTTAGGTATGCCTTGCATGTGACTGAACTTGGTTGGATCCAGTGGAAGTACCTAAGCTCTGCTGGCTGTGCCCTCTACATTTCAGGGGAAGGATATAAAGGGCCAAAGAGCTGGAAGGGCTGGAGCACATGTTGTGCATGCAGGAGGCCTTGATTTTATCCCTGAGCCAGAGTAGCCCCTGAAAACTACTAGGTATGGTCCGAAGCATCCCTCTCCCAAAATGTGAAATTTTTCATTATAAGGAGAATATCGTGCATATTTATTTATTAAGGAAAAAGTAGGTGATAAAAATCTACATATGGGGGCTAGAGTGATAGCACAGTGGGTAGGGCGTGTGCCTTGCACGCGGCTGATCCGGGTTCGATTCCCAGCATCCCATATGGTCCCCCTGAGCACCACCAGGAGTAATTCCTGAGTGCAGAGCCAGGAGTAACCCCTGTGCATCGCCGGGTGTGACCCAAAAAGAAAAAAAAAGTACACAGAGTATGATCCCCACTCCTGTTTAGAAAAGATGATTTGTACTTTGATATCTTTTACTTCCTTGTATTCAAGGAATATCTTTTAAAAGATATTCAAGGAATATCTTTTATTCCTTGAATACAAGGGTTAAAGTGTATGTTTTCCTTGCTTATAGTTGACCCTGGTTCATTATCTCTTGCTTTGTGCTATTTGTGCTTTCTAATATATTTATAATTACAATGTAGTATTTTGCATCACTAAATAAAACCCAAAGAGATTGAAAAAGAAAACAGATCACTGAAATATCTTCTGATTGTCCCCTCTACAGGGTGATTCCATGGAGTTAGAAATATGGTGTCTTGAAATGAATGAAAAGTAAGTGCTTTGTCTTAGAGTCCTTGGATCTGGTAACCAAGGGTAAAGAATTTGACATCATGTGCAAAGCAGGGCTTGTTATCAGCCATTTAAGGGGTTCCAACTACTTAAGAAAGCCAATAGGTCTTTGCTACAATTTGCTTCATGCTTGGCGTCCCAGCAGAGACACAGAGGTGACCTTCCGAGGGAGCGTCCGTCCAGTGAGATCCAGACACCACAGGGAAAGGAGCAGAGAGAGAGAGAGCTGAAAGGGATTCGTTGTTTTCCCACAGTACAGCTCGTTCTCTGATTAAGTCCCTTGTGAAATCTTAAAACATGATGACTGTTTTGTCTGTTTTCTAGGTGGCAGACATCCAGTAAGGTTTCCCCCACTGCTTTTCACACAGCGTGCTGGTCATGGATTAGAAATGCATGCGATCTCCCTCCCCCACTTTCTCCTTTCAAGGCAGATCAGCTTACTTCCTGCCTGATGTTTCGGTTTTCAGAAAGCTTATATAGGAGAAGGAGAACACATGAAAATATAAGTCTTAATAATAAGTATATGTGTTACATGACTTTTTTTTTCTTTAAATGAAAAGCAATTGCTAGGTTTTCCTTCGGCATTTTAGTATCAGTCTTCTCTCCAGATTTAGTACCAGACTTTCCTGCAGATTTCCTATTAGATGGGTAGAAGGACATAGCTATTAAGATAGTATACTGACATAGTTTCACCTTCAGTAATATAATTAGCACTGTAGCACTATCCTCCCGTTGTTCATCGATTTGCTTAAGCGAGCACCAGTAATGTCTCCATTGTGAGACCTGTTGTTACTGTTTTTGGCATATCAAAATTGCCATGGGGAGCTTGCCAGGCTCTGCCAGTGGGTGGGATACTCTCAGTAGCTTGCTGGGTTCTCTGAGAAGGAAGTAATATAATTACAATATTGAATTACTGTTTTAAAGTATGCTGCTTTATTTTATAGCTAATCACATCAAAGGTCGAAAAACGTATATTTGGTGCCTTTTGGTACTTGTTAATCTGGCCTAGTATATAAGAGAGTGAAACTTGACCTACTTTGGCAATCTGTTGATAAACTGACAAAGGTTTCCTATACCTATAAACATTCAGAACATGTTCTCTTAGTAAATTCAGTCTTAACACAGTGTTCGTGCTTTATTTGCTACCGTTTCTGCTTATTATACTACTCTAAATATTGTAACTAGACTCTGAAGCAGATTGACTTCTCTGAGAATTCCTGAATAATGTTACCTAATTGATCTCGGAGGAACATAATATGTCTGTACCCGCTGTTTTTCGGTTCTATGTTACGTTAGCTGACTAGGAGAAAGCTGATAGTGTCTGTGCTCCTCAGGTGTGATAAAGAGATCAAAGTTTCCTACACGGTATACAACAGACTCTCATTGTTGCTGAAGTCTCTCCTGGCTATAACTAGAGTGACACCGGCCTACAGACTCTCCAGGAAGCAAGGGCATGAGTATGTAATATTGTACAGGTAAGTAACACAACTGCTCACCTTCTCGACTCATAGCAACCACATCATTTTTAGTTTTGAGGCCGCATGCAGTGGTGTCTAGGAGCTACTCCTAGCTCTGTGGTCAGAGGTGACCCATGGCAGTGCTGGGGACCACATGTGGTACCAGGGATCCTGACCACAGCAGAATGCAGGGCCCGTGCATTAGCCTCTGTACCATCTCTTTGGCATGCCTTCCCTCCTTTCTCTCTCTGACACTGTGGTCTTATTGTTTTTTTGATAAAGTTCAATTTTCTCTTTTTGGGTTTGGGGGCCACATCTGGCTGTGCTCAGAAGGCACTTTCAGTGTTGCTCGGGAACTGTGCAATTATTATTTTTTTTGAGAGGTAGGGGAGGGGGGGGCTACCCCAAGTTGTTCTAAGGGCTTATCTCCAGGCTCTTTGCTCATCACAGCTGGTGGGCTTGGGGGACCATGTGGGGTGCGGGGGATTGAATCCGGGTTGGCCCCGTGCAAGACAAACACCCAGCTGTTCTGTAGCTCCAGTTGGGACATTGCCATTCTGGGGATCAGACCTCTGGCTCTAGCATGCAAGGCTTATGCTTCAACCCTTGGAGCTATTTCCTCCAGGCCCATTTTGTTAGATTTTTTTTTCTAGGTGTTTTTTAATGGGCTGGAGCAATAGCACAGTGGCAGGGTGTTTGCCTTGCACACAGCTGCACGGCTGACCTGGCCAGGCCGGGTTCAATTCCTTCATCCCTCTCGGAGAGCCCAGCAAGCTACTGAGAGTATCTTGCCCGCACGGCAAAGCATGGCAAGCTACTCATGACGTATTCGATATGTCAAACTCAGTAACAAGTCTCACAAAGGAGCTGTTACTGGGCCCACTTGAGCAAATTGATGAACAATGGGAGGACAGTGCTACAGGTGTTTTAATGATTGAGACTTTTCAGTAGAGAACTGTAACTTACTTTTTTTCCCTTCCCCTTCTCTACAGGATATATTTCGGGGAAGTTCAGCTAAATGGTTTAGGAGAAGGTTTGTATCAAGGTTGAAAACATTTGTAATGTTATTTTCCTTTCTTCAGAGATGGACTTGAATATTGTCTTAATTTTTTTTTTGGTGGGGTGGGGGCTAGTGAGATGGCACAGAGGACTGGAGCGCATGTGTCACTTGGAGTCCCAGGTTCAATCTCAACACTGCTAGGCATAACCACACACGCGCGCGGGCGCAAGTGCTTCCAAGCACCATGCTGGAGTGAGTAGATCTTGGGCATCTCCTTTGGATTAGGGAGACAGCTAGGGGCTGGAGCGCATGCTCTCCATACAGAGATTCTGAGTTCAATTCCCAGCACCACCTGGCCCCAAGAACCATGAGAACGGAGCATGCTCACATCCATGGGCCTTTCCACTGAACAGTTTGGCCCACATGGCCGTACTGAGCATTATCAGGAGCTAACCCAGGGGTCCTTTAGCACTGATAGGGAGCCCATCACCCCAGATAACATTTGTAACTTTAGATAACTTTATTATGTATGCTACATGTAAGGAAAAGAGAGAACAGGTGGGTGGTTCAAGGAGCTGCCAAAAAATGACCCAATCATTTTTGTTGTATTTCCAGCAGCAATTCAGTATTTCGTGTATATATTTGCTGGGATTGAACTCAGGCCTCAGACCTGTGAAGCAGTGTGCTTTGTGAGCTACGTCTCCAACCTTCTTTCGTACTTTCTATAATTGTCACTTTCCCTTAATTTTTACATAGAGTATCTGAAATATTTCTGAAAGTGGCACCAACTTTGAAAAGTCAGAGAGAAAACGAGGAAATGCCTTGGGATCATCCTCAAAACTAGGGTCACTGCCTCATCTGGTTTTGCGGGGACAGCCTGGGTGGAAGTACTCTTACTTCATAGTGAGGCCTTTGGTTTGCACACACCACACAGCCCTTCCTTGACTCATTGGGTCTGTGACACATCTGAGCAAGATTGATAAGGATCTGGTTTGACTTTAGGATTAAAATTGTTTCATCTCTTTGATTTTCACCCCCCTTGTGGCAGGGATCAAATCTGGTGCTTGATTCACACAACACATGTTTTGTACTATTGAGTGCTGGGTTTTACTAGAGATGTTAAATCAATATAGGATATACTGAGAAAAAATATATGTAAAGGTGTATAAAAGTGAGGCTGCCACACTGAGTAAAGTCAGACAGTAGAATGAATGATTCAGAAAAAGTCTGGGAAGCATTGTCAGTTTTCTTTTGGGGTGAAAAACAAAAGCTAATAATTCATCTCTTCTCCTAGGTTTCCAGACAGTTCGTGTTGGGACAGTGGGCACCCCTGTGGGTACCATCACTCTTTCTTGTGCTTATAGAATTAACTTGGCATTCATGTCTACCAGGTGAGGAAGCGCCTTCAGTCCGCAAGAACCCTTCTAAAGATGCCAGTTCCCACCCCCCTACGCCTAAGCCTCTAGTATAGCTCTGCTGTTCCTGAAATCAGTTCCCTTCCAAAGAATAAATCTGAAAAAAAGGAAAGCAGTTTCCAGATTGGAGACTCTGAAGGAACCAGAACCAATTTGCCCAGAATATAGAGCTGGGGGTTTATATTTAGGGGTGCAGTCATGTAGTTCTGGTGTCTCCTGCCAACAGGTGCTAGGTGTGGACTCTGAAGCCCTGGTAAGGCATGCTAGGCAACATCACCATCTCTTTACTGTGTTCCAGGCAGTTTGAGAGGACGCCACCTATCATGGGGATTATCATCGATCATTTTGTGGACCGTCCCTACCCCAGCTCCTCACACCCCTGCAACTACAGGTGAGGAATGTGCAAGGCACGTCCCAAGCTGCAGCAAAGCAGAGTCCCTCTTGCCCAGGCTCACAGAATAGCACCCCCGTCTGCACTCAACGCCCATCCAGGCCCAGGGAAGGGACTAAGAGCACTGTGGAGAGAGCCAGGCGGGATGTCATCTCTGTTGGCTCCACCAAGGCTGTCTCAGAACATTCTTGGATGGTTTTGTGCACATACAGAGCTGTTATCTATGCCCTGCAATTCTATAATGTTGTCAGTAAACAAGAATAAAAAGTGGGAAATGTATTTTAAACTATAAAAAATAACTTTTTTTTTTTTTTTTGCTTTTTGGGTTACACCCGGCAATGCACAGGGGTTACTCCTGGCTCATGCACTCAAGAATTACTCCTGGTGGTGCTCGGGGGACCATATGGGATGCTAGGAATTTAACCCAGGCTGGCCACATGCAAGGCAAACGTCCTACCCGCTGTGCTATTGCTCCAGCCCCAATAATATTTTCTTATTCTCTGAAAAAAATAAAAATCTATGAACATTTTTGATCTTGATGATAGTCATTTGACTTTTTCAGTAGCAAGTAACTAAGAGATAGGGAGGGAATAATTTTTTTTTTATTTTTGTTTTTTGTTTTTGGGGAGGTAGGGTTGCACCCAGCGGTGTTGAGGGCTTACTTTTGGCTCTGCTCAGGAATCACTCTTGGTGTGGCTCAGGAGACCATATTACTTGCCAGGGATCAAACCAGAGTCAGCTGCGTGCTAGGCAAATGCCTTCTCACTGTACTGTCTCTCTGGCCCCTAACTTGTGATACAGCCTTAGCAAAATCTGTGGCTTTCAAAGATCACCATCTGGCATAATTCAGTTACACATGAGTACCAAGAGTATCCAAACCTCGATGGCAGAAATCAGAATTCTTCAGCTGTGTACCAGAAATAATGCTACCTTTAGGTAGAAATCATGGGGAGTTCAGCTGGTTTGACTTAGGGTCTAGACTTACTTTCATTAAATTTCTTTTGGGGTAGTTGTGGTCGGGTAGCACGGTAGTGCCTGAGGTTGAGCATGGAAAAAGAAAAAAAAAAATCAGACCTTCAACTCCTGGACATATTTGGCATCATCCAAGGCTCAGCAAGCCTATTGCCAATATCAACTGTGCTTGCAACGATTCGTGTCACAGCTTGTCACCTCCTTCTGTTGCCTTGCTGAAGTTGACCGCCATGAGCATAACAGTCCTCATTTTTCTTCCCCTTTAGAGCTACAGGCGAGGACACTGGGGTGACATATCCTTCTGTAGAAGATTCTCAAGAAGTGTGTACCACCTCTTTTTCCACCTCCCCTCCATCCCAGGTAGGGAGACATGGGGCCATGGGGGGGGGGGGGGGAGGGGAGTGGCCATTGAGATTGAGTGTTACATAGATGCCCTTGAGAAATTGTTTCACAGCTTGTCATCTGAAACCAGTCTCCTTGGCAAGATTGTAACCTTTTCCTTCCCAGGAAATTCTTCAAGTTCCCTAGGAAATCCATCACTGGATTCCAGGTGCCTTTTACTAGCAAGGCTCTCTTACAGTGATGCTTGCTTCTCCATTTGGTAACTTCCTCTTCCCAAGTTCTCGGCAGGCTTCCTCCTGAAGGAAGGAGATAATAGTTGTAGCTCCTAGTAGTATAAAATATCAGCACCCAAGTAGCTGGGCCATTTTTCTTCATTGCTGATGCAGATTTCTGCTTCTCTGTAGTTGCTATCTGAACATTTTTAGCCATTAATTTTCCCACTTGAGTGAGTCTCCGGTGTCAAGCCCAGTTTTTCTGTTTGTTTTTGTTTTGGAACCATACCTGACAATGCTCCAGGGATATTCCTGACTCTGCACTCCGGCATTACTCCTAGCAGTGTTCAGGATCTAGCCCAGGTTGGCCATATGCAAGACAAGTGCCCTACCCACTATACTGTTGCTCTGTCTCCATCAAGCCTAGTTTTGATAATACAGATGCCAGGAAAATGTTCTTAGCTTAGCAGGAGGAAGTGTTGCATGGTCTTTCTGTAGGATGCACCTGAGCCTGAGACTGCATCCACCAAGGAGCCAGTGTTCCAGCGACCCGAGCTCCAGGGCACAGGCCTTCTTCTCTGCTTTGTTGCCAGGGGAGCCCTGCTCTTCCTGCCCACTGGTCCTCCTCTTTTGACTGTCATTTCAGACACCTCCTTCCAGTCCTGACTCGGCTCAGCTGTCCTCCAAAAACAGACCCAGATTACCCCCTTCGCTATCTTATTTTAGGGACCCAACACCTTTTTCTACATACTAGGGCTTGAAACCAGGTTTTATGCATGCAAGGCATATACTGTCATCACAGAGCTACATCTCCTGTGTCTGGGATCCGACAAATTACTTAGCTTCCCTGCGTTTTTATTTTCTTGTGTGTCTGTGTGTTGTTTAGGGCTGTACCCAGCAGTACAGGGGTGGGAGCCTGCTCCAGCTCTATGCTCAGGGTTGTCCCCAGCAGACGATGTAGTACCAGGGGTCACATACAGGGCTCCCAGATGAAAGCATGCGCTCTAGCCCTTTGAGTTGTCTCTCTGGCCCTTGTGTCTGTATTTTGGGGAGAGGGGACTGGCCACTCCTGGCAGTGCTTAGAGACCGTGAATTACCGCAGATATCACATACAGCTTCCAGCATGTAAAGCATGTGCTCTAACCCTTTGTGCCATCTCCCCGGGCCCTCCAATGCTTTATTTAGTTGAGGAGAGGAAAACTCAATCAAGCTTGAGATAGGATTCAAATTACAGTCCTAATCTGAAGCAGAAGTTTAGCACAAGTGCTGACTTAATTGTGTATACGTGGAAAACATTGCAAAATGCACAGACCAGTGTTCTTATTGTCTCCACTTTTTGTAGGTTTTAATAGATTACATTTTTGTTTGGGGGCCACACCTGGTGGTGCTCAGGGGTTACTCATAGCTCTGCACTCAGAAATTATTCCTGGTGGTTCTTAGGGGACCATATGAGATGTCAAGGATCGAATCTGGGTCAGCCCAGTGCAAGGCAAATGCCCGACTCACTGTCATTCTGGCGCCTAAACATGTTCTTGAAAAGTTGCTCAGACAGGAGCTGGAGCGATAGTACAGTGGGGAGGGCGTTTGCTTTGCACGCAGCTGACCCAGGTTCAATCCCCATCCCATACAATCCCCCAAACACCACCAGGAGTAATTCCTGAGTGCAGAGCCAGGAGTAACCCCTGAGCATCTCTGAGTGTGGCCCAAAAAGGAAAAAAAAAAGTTGCTCAGACAGTTTGTCAACCTCCTATTGTGTCTTGTCACAGTTTAAAAGGAGATTATGGGGCCAGAGACATAGTACAGTAGGTAAAGTGGTCCCTTGAACGCTCCAGAAATGATTGCTGAATGCAGATCCAGGAATAACCCTTGAACATCACCTGGTATGGCCCTAAACACAAAATAAATAAATAAAAGTAATAAAAGTAGATTACACCAAGATCCCACCTCCACTGAGCACCCTATGGGTGGGCCAGCTCCTATACCCTGACCAAGTGGTCAAGGCAGGAGTTTGTTGCAGGAAGACTGATTTTAACCCTTGGTGATAGAGCACAGAGAAAATCAGATCGCTACTAGGTATCCCCAATCTTTTAGATAGTTTTTGTTTTGGGGCCCACACACAGCTGTGCTTACTCCTGCCTCTTTTCTCAGGGATCTCTCCTATTGGGGCTCAGGAAACCACAATGGGTGCTAGAGATGGAATCTGGGTCAGTCACATGCAAGGCAAGCACCATCCCCACTGTAACTGCTGGGGACCAGAGAAACAATGCAGCTTGTAGAGCACTTGCCTTGCACATGATCAACCCAGGTTCAATCTCTGACAAACCCGTATGATCCCCTGAACCTGCCAGGAGTGATCTCTGAACCAGGAGTAAGCTCTGAGCACAGCCAGCCATGGCCAAAATAAGGATGAAAACAAACAAAAAAGAATCCTGTCAATACTGAAATAGTACCGTGGCTTACCCTAGGAACTTGTATGATTGTCATATGACTTGTATTTGAGCATTTGCTAGAGACCAGTAAATCCCTGTTTATATGATGTAAGCCCCCCATGAACTCCATCTAACTCGTCTAGTACAGTGGGGAATTATAAGAACACCCGCTCGGCTTTCTGGGCCCCGTCGAATGGCCTTTAGTCTAGCACGACAGGCTCAGCATCCTCATCCTCATTCGCCCAACAGTCCTGTGTCTGTGCAGTCCTTCCCCTTGGGGCGCCTCTGGGGTTCTCTGTGGGGCCCAGTCGCACCAGCTTGCTTCAGCTTTGTTTTCTACCTGCCCATCAGGGAGATGGGCATGCCGGGAGCACCCCATGACAGACGTGCTTCTGGGGAAAAGCGGCTCTCTACCTGCTTCCGTCCTGACTTAACCTCTGTGCCTCTGTTGCTGCTGCCCCTTCGGCATTTTCAGAAACTCCTTTCTCAAGCCCCTCTTTTTTTTTTTCTCTTGTTTCTCCTGTCTCTGTATGTTTCTGCACAGTGTGTGTTCACTGTCACAAGGGCACATTCTCAGAGCCCTACTCCTGTGCTGACGGACACCCTGAGGGTCCCCATTGCAGGACTGGCCTTTCCCTACCAAGTGAGTCCATATGGGAAGAAGGAATCTGTAACCAGGTGGCATTTTCTATAGTTAGAAGTGGTGACTACTGCTCAGGGCACGAGGTCAGTTTCCCCATGTGTGCTGTGAATTATTTTTGAAGCTTGGTAGTAGGTAACAGGGTTTTATTTTTTCATTACTGTTCTTGGTTGTCTTTTTTTCCTTTTCCAGAATTGGGGATCGAACCCAGGGCCTCACTACTACATGTTCAGTGCTCTGTGGAATTTATTTTTACCAGGGCAAGGCCATAGCACAGCAGCCCAAAATAAACATCTCATTTGCTCCTCTTCCTCCTCCTCCTCTTCCTCCCCCCTTCTCTTCCTCCTCCTTCTCCTCCTCCTTCACCCCCCCTTTGATGTGAAAAATACATGGAGTTATTTATATCTTATTTCCAAATAAACAATCCAAGAGTGGTAGCCTTGCTTTTTTTTTTTTTTAAACATAAATAGAAACCCTGGCTTCCCCAGGGGTGATGGAGGAGGGGGTGAGCATAGAAGCGGCCTTCACTTTCAGACGGACCTTAAGGACAAAGGAGAAAGTGGAATGACCCCGAAAGGCTGATGCTCCTGGTTCGGCCTGGGCTTGTGTGGGTCCAGAGTCCGCACTGTTAGCTGAGGCCTGGGGAGAGGAGGAGCAGGGCGCTTACTGAGACCCAACGCTCCAGAGCACGGGATTTCCATTCCACTGCGAACAGATCTGTCTTCTTGCCTCTGTGGTCCTGGCTGGGTCCGTCTCTAACCCTTCCCTGAGGACCCCTGGGGCTGGGGCCCAGTCCTTCCCTCTGCCTATCTTAATGATTAGTCACGCTCTAGGATTGCCTATTTTCCCTCCTCCTTTCCTCTGCCCCTCTTTGTTTTTCTCTTGCTTAGCTCTCAAGCTCTCGCCTTTCCTATCAGCCTGCCGCCCTGGGTGTTGGATCAGCTGACCTGGCTTATCCAGTAGTGTATGCTGCTGGCCTAAACGCCACTCACCCTCACCAGGTATTTTTGCAAAGACTGGGGAGTACCCCGGGGGTATGTTGTGCCAACCCCCCCACCCTCCTGGGGGTGGGGGAGGGTCTGAGGCAACTTCTATGGGACCTATTGAGCCTTCCGTGTTCTCAGCTTCTCTGAGGCGAAGCTCTTTCAAACTTTAGAACACTAAAGTGACTGAGAAGGGAATGCTAAGAATGCAGAAAAGAACTGACCTTCTCTTTCCCGCCCTGCCTATAGTCCTCACCTGTGCGTGGCTCCCACTCAAGAAGGCGCCTCAGAGGAAGAAAACCCTCAGGGTTTCCTCACCACTTGGTGGCAGCATTGCTAACGGGAACAGTTTCTCTCCACCCCCATCTCGGGCCTCCCGCTGCCGCTGCCACAGTTGACTGAACTTTTCCCTTGTTTCTCCCCCCAAAGCTGATGGTTCCTGGCAAGGAAGGTGGGGTCCCCCTTGCTCCCAACCAGCCCGCCCACGGTGCCCAGGCTGACCAAGAGAGATTGGCCACCTACACCCCTTCTGACGGGGCCCACGGCACAGCCACACCTTCTAGCAGGTGAGTTGGGGTGGGGTGCGGGTGGGGAGGGGGCGGAGGTTGCCAAGGTGCTTATTTGGTGTTAGGTACTCCATCATTGTATATAACTGAAACCCAAGTACGAAAGTTTGTAAGTCCACAACTGTACCTCGTGGTGTTTCACTAAAAAAAAAAAAAAAAAAAAAAAAAAAAAAAACAGGAATAAACAAACAAACAGAAAAAAAAAGTAGTTGGGCCTTGGCTCAGGGCCGCCTTGGAGGAGCTCCGAGGAGCCCCGATAAGAATTTTTGCAGTTGGTATGTGAAGAAGGTGGCCCGGGGCTTCTTCACCTCTAACAACAAGGCCCTGCTCACTGTCTTCAGCAAAGAGGCTTTCAGATGTGTTTTTCTTATGCTCACGCAGTGTTTTTCTTACCCCCGCCATTCATTCTCTTGGAAGAATTGGCCCTTCATGTTCCCTGAGGCAGAACAAGGCATTTACCACAACCCTCAGGTCTGGGGCCACATGTTTTCCCCATTAAAAAAAAAAATTTTTTTTAAACCTTTGGCTTTCTGATTGCAGAAGTGAGACTTTCCTTGCACACATGAAAGATACAGGTTGGGTAGAAGTGAGAATTCTCCTGACCTGGCCTGCAGAGCTCACCACTGTTCCCTCCGAGTACAGATGAGGGGCTCTCAGACGAAATGTCATTCACCTGAGAGCACTTAGCTGACAGGAGGGCGGGGCCCACTGGGCTGGGACCTCTCCCCTGGAAAGCTGAGCTGAACCTGACCTCCCTTGGCTTGAGGCTCCAGATAGAATGACACAGATGGATGCCCCCGCCCCCATCCTAAGTGACCTAGATAATAGAAAAATTCTGCCAGGTTTTTGATTTTCATTCCTTTGGGGGAGTAGAGGTACGGGGCACTGCCTGGGAACGCCTTTCTGTTTTGTCCATCAGAGAGAATAGTGACTTTCTTTCCTGCCTTCTCAGCTACCCTTCTCTCCTCCCTCCCCCTTAGATGATCAAAGGAAGGACTGAGGGTGGTTTTACACCCTCATTTCCTGAGCCTCTGCCTGAGGCTTGTTAGAAGCCTGGGATTGGGGGTGCATTTCTCCTGCTTGGAGCCCCCCAAATTACCTAGCACCCCCCCACCCCAGAGGCCTTGATAGGCAGGGAACAGAACTCGGGTCACACTCTGGCCTTGGAATCAGGACAGTGTCACTTGTCAGGTTTGCTTAAATTCACTATTAAAATGTAACCTCCTCCTCCAGTCTAGATACTTTATTTTCTCTTTTTGGGTCACACCCGGCGATGCACAGGGGTTACTCCTGGCTCATGCACTCAGAAATTACTCCTGGCGGTGCTCAGGGGATGCTGGGAATCTAACTGGGTCGGCCGCATGCAAGACACACACCCTACCCGCTGTGCTGTTGCTCCAGCCCCCAGTCTAGATACTTTTAGATGGTGAAACAAGGTGGAAAAGAAGAAAGGCTAAAGTCTTAAGTCTAGCTTTGTGGTAGTTGAGTGTTAAATTTTTCAGTACAGTCACGGTCACGGTCACGGTCCTCCTATTGTTCATCGATTTACTCGAGCAGGCCCAGGGGCTGGAGCGATAGCACAATGGTAGGGTGTTTGCCTTGCACGCAGCCAACAAATTTTCAGTACAATGATGGCTAAATGCCCGTCATTTGAAGCTGTTTATTTCCATTGAATTTTGCATGGGCCACGATGTGGATCAAATCAAAGGTTACTACCTCCGCCTCTGGTCACGATCCTGGGGGTGATCCCTGGAGCTGCCTGGTCTCTCCCCTCCACAGATAAGGGTAACTCTGTGGCCCCTCAACCCTGGGACTGAGTCCCAACTGTTAGGGGGGCCATGGCAATACTTCACCAGCTGGGCCCAAACATGCAGAGCTTCCTGAGGCCTGAGGCGCCTTGGAGGAGTGTTTTGTAGGCCTGATGGTGCTGGGGACTTGGAGCCGTCAGTACACACTTACCCGACAACTGAACCTGTTTCCCACCTCCCACGTCACGCCTTTTTCTTAGTTTGGGGTTGTTTTTTTTTGGAGGGGGGAGTCACACCTGGTGGTGCTTGGGACTTGCTTCTGGCTCTGCAATCAGGGATCACTCCTGGAGGATTTGAGGGACCATATGGGATGCCGGAGATTGAACCCGGGTTGGCCACAAGAAAGGGAAATGTGTGTGCTATCGCCCCGACCCACACACATTTTTGGTGTTTTGACCACACCTGTTGAGCCATCTCTCTGGCCACTTACACCAATTAAATATATGCTTCACATATCTAGAACAAAGTTCCATTCACAGATGAAGAATTTTGGGTGCTGAAATGAAATGTAGTTGGCTCCTCAGCTCCAAAGGCGCTGCAGGTGGGGCTTGTTCATGGGGCGAGCACTTGCCTTGAGTGTGCAGCCCTGGGCTCCATCCCCAGCACCATCCCCATAGAGGACACTCTCTCCCTGCAGCCAGACCACATGCCCTGTCTCTCAGACTGTGGGTGGCCATGCCCACCCTCAGCTGCAGCCGCTCTAGGCAGTGGCGCTGTGGTGGCTTAGAACAGCCCCAACCTTCCCTTTCTTCTCCAGTGAGGACACAGAAACCGTGTCGAACAGCAGCGAGGGACGGGCCTCTCCCCACGATGTCTTGGAGACCATCTTTGTCCGAAAAGTTGGGGCTTTTGTCAACAAACCCATCAACCAGGTGACTATTCTGCTTATGTCACTCGAGAGATCTGAACCCTCAGAGTGAGACCTGAAGGGCAGGGAGGGGTGGGTGTGTGTGTGTGTGTCTGTCTGTCTGTCTATCTGTCCCTGGGTATGTGGTGACTCACAGCGAGAGGCAGGGTATGTGTATATAAGGGTGACTCTTACAGAGTCACAAGACTGGACAATTTTTGTGTTTTGGGGCCACACCTGGTGTTGCTCAGGGATTACTCCTGGCTCTGCACTCAGGAATTTCTCTTGGTGATGTTCGGGGACTGTATGGGATACTGGGGATAGAACCCGGGTCGGTTACATGCAAGGCAAGTGCCCAACCCGCTGTACCATCGCTCCGGCCCAAGAAACCCAATCCTCTGTAGTGCAACACTCACCTGAGGTAGTTTTTGCCTCACTAGAAGATGCAAATTCCTCCTGAGCGCTGCCAGCGTGGTTCAGTTGTTACTGAGTCACCACCCTCAGTCAGACTTGTAAGGCTGAACGCCCCGGGTTCTGGAAAGCCCGAGCCCCTGCTCACGCATGGTCGAGAGATGCGGGTCTCAGGGCCAGCCTGGCCTTCCCAGGTGGGTTTGTGGCTGAGACGGCATCAGTGCTCTCCTGCGTCTCTCCAGGTGACCCTGACCAGTTTGGACATCCCCTTTGCCATGTTCGCTCCCAGGCACTTAGAGCTGGAGGACGCCGACCCTATGGTGAGCCCCACCTTGGCCTAGACCTCTGGTGCCCCAATTCTCCCCAGCAGGAGCCGGGCACCCTGCGCTCAGGCCCAACCCCTGCCTCTGCCCAACCCCGACACAGGTGAATCCTCCCGAGTCCCCCAGCGCTGCGTCCCCTCTCCAGGGCAGTCTGCACTCCAACGGCTCCAGCGGTGGCAGCAGCGGCAACGCCCACGATGACTTTGTCATGGTCGACTTCGTAAGTTGTGGGCACTCTGTTACTCTTTCCTGGAGGTGCCCTTTCTGGCCACGTAAACTGCCCCAGCAGCAGAGGTTTTGGGAGAGGCAGCCCACACCGCCTCTTGCTGGAGACATTTCTTTTCGGGTCACACCTGGGAGTGCTCAGGGCTCTCAGCTGGCTCTGCACGTGGGGATCATTCCTGGTGGGGCTCTGGGACTATTTAGGTTGCCAGGGATGGAATCCAGATCGGCTGCATGCAAGGCAAGGGCCTTCCCTGCTGTATTGCCACTCTTTCCCATTGTTCTGTTGCCCTCACTGTGAGTCATATGACTGTTTTGCTTTGTTTCATTTTTGTTGGGAACACAACCGTGGTTCTTATGGGATTTTCATAATTGAGTCCTCAAGGCTTGTTCCTGGAGGTGCCCTGGTCACTGAGGGGTGCCAGGATTCAACCCTGGCATCCTGGGCTCATTGCACACAGGAGCCCTCTCTTTGGTCCCAGAGAGGGCATTTTGTACAATGTCTTTGGTAAAAATTCATAAGGAAATTCAGAATTTCCTGTGCTGAACCAGAGAGTGCAGCGGGCAGGGCGTTTGATCTGGGTTCAATCTCCAACACCTTATTACCTTCCCCAAACCCCACCAGGAGTATTCTGTACCCCACTAGTACTCTCTGAGCGTAGAGCCAAGGATCACTTCTGGCCAGTAAGCCAGTAAGTCCTGAGTACAGCTGGGTGTGGCCCAAAAACCAAAAACCACCAAACAATTTCCTGTGTTTCTCATGTAGAATCTATTCATGCCATATGTGCAAGATTCTTTTGCTAAGAGAGGAGTTTGAAGGAAGGGGACAAGGCCTACCCAGGGGAGAGGACTGGTGTCCCAGGATTAGAAGTCCACCCTTAGCTTTACCTCCTCTGTGACTTTCTTCGGAGGTCAAGACAGGAAAAACTGAGTCTGTCTTTTTTTAATTTTTTTAAGAAACCGGCTTTTTCTAAAGACGACATTCTTCCAATGGACTTGGGGACCTTCTACCGTGAATTTCAGAACCCCCCTCAACTGAGCAGCCTCTCCATCGATATCGGGGCACAGTCCATGGCTGAGGACTTGGTATGGAAATGCCTTCCTTCCCCGGACACCGCATCCCTGACCTCCCGCAGCCCATGGACGGCCTCCCCTGCTCCCCTAGCTGGAAGTATCTCCCACTCCCTCCTTCTCATCCCCCAGCCACCTCCGAACTTTTCTCCCACTTGGACTGTGCACAACCGTCATCCTCTGAGTGGGCAGCAACTCTGCTCCTGCTCTCCCCTGCACTCCTTACACAGTCGTGTTGTCTGTCAGTGGCCAGCGCCACTGGACCCGGATGATCCAGCCAGCTCTGTGCATTTGAGTAGCTTGCTGAGTAGCCGCCCGTGGAGACAGCAGCTAGTGGTCAGGCCCCAAGCCCGGCTCTCCTCATCCTTTGCTTGAAGAGCTCTCCCTCTCATCACACAGTGCTCACGTCAGACCAGATGATTCCAGGCAAGCTCCCCTCGCTGTGTCATGTCCTAGTCCTCGCTCCAGAGGGCAGACGAGCACCCTCCATGTCCACAACCCCGTTTGTGGTCCCTCAACCTGTGTTGCGACTATCACCTCCTCTGTAGGAGGTAGGGAACTAACTCCAGAAACCGGTATCAAAGGATACCTGTTTGATTGGCTGAAACAAAAACAGACTCAGTAGTGGTTGAGGAACGGTGTCATCATTAGTCAGTTGTGCTCAGAAGCTACTCCCGGCTCTGGGCTTGGGTGGGGGGGGGTCACTTCTGGTGGTTCATGGGGCTCACGCAATGCTGGGGATCTAACTGCAGCGCCTGGCCCTTTGAGCTTTCTCTCCCTCTGACTCTGTGACGGCCATTTATGGAGGCTTTCTAGGGGCCATGCACTTTTCTAAGTTCCCTGATGGGAGTCTTCACCATACGAAGGAGGTTTTCTTACCAGTCAAGTTTAGGGATGAGAAAACTAACACTACATGCCCGGAGCTTCCCTGCGTCCCCTCGAGGTGACACAGACTGAATCCTGGAGCAGGTGGCACTGTGCCTGGCTTTAGATTGTGACTCATCTCATGTGCTGAGACCACAGTGTATTGCAGGCTCTCGGAGGTGCCTGGGAACCCCGGGGTGGGTTCTGCTCCCAAGCGTTGCCCACGAGCAAGCGAGGTGGACTCACCCAGTGGCTGCACCCCCCAAGTCAGAGTCCAACCGTTACTCATCCTTGTCCCTAGAGGGCAGTCAACGCCAGCTCTTCCTGGTTCCGTTTCCTTCTCTTTCCCTCTATGCCCTCTCACCCAGCTGGGGTGTGTCCTCATGCCCAAGCGGGTTCAGGAGCCCGGTATGGGGCGGGCGGGGTGTTAGCTCTCTTCATTTTGCCTTCAGAGTGCCCATCTCTTCCTGACCCACTCACATCCTTCTCCCTTGCCAGAGCCACCTCACCTGTCAGCCTGCTGTGCCGTCCTGCAGGCGGTGGGGTCCTCTTCCAGCTGTGAAGTGTGAGACTCCCTTGGATGCTTGGGTTCTTTGTCCAGCCCCTCTGTCCCTTGCCCCCACAGACCTGTTGGACAGAAGCCCGCGGCCAGCGCTGCTGAGCTCTCTCTGCAGCTCAGGGTGGGCTACCAGCGGCCCCATCCCGAGTCAGCAGCCCTTGTCTCCGCTTCCCCTACAGGACTCTCTCCCGGAGAAGCTGGCCGTGCACGAGAAGAATGTGCGAGAATTCGATGCCTTCGTAGAAACCCTGCAGTAAAAGCTGGCGTCAGTCCCAGCAGCAGCCCCTTCCGCCGTCCCGGGAGGCCGAGGGCCCCCCCCACCGTCAGCTGCTCCCATCCCGTGGAGGCGAGACTGTGTGGCCCCCGGAGACACCGGGGCTGCACTCCAGACTTGGGGGGACTCCTCCTCTGGCCTCAGGGAGGGGAAGCCCCTTGGCCACACCAGGGCCCTCAGCAAGGCCATCTGCCTCCACTGCTGTCACCAACTGTTTCCCGGAGCCATTCCTCCTGCCGCCACCACCTCCCATCCTGGGCCTGTCGTGCAGCTGCCCCCCGGGCCCACATCAAGCCATTTGACCTGCCCCCCGAGGCCCAGACCTGATTTGGGGAGAGAGGAGGAAGGCTCCTTCCTGCCCCGTTGTCGTCTCCTTTCATCCTGGAATCTCCCCTCTCTCCCCGGCCCCGTACCTGCACTTTTGGCCATGACAGGCCTCCTGTGGCGAGAAGCCCGCAGCTGGCTAGCCACGCGCCGGCAGGTTGTGCCAGCCGGGCCCATGGCAGAGAGTCCGAGCAGCCCTGGTGGCTGCCTGTGCTCAGCTTCTCAGCTCCCGGGGACAGTTCCCAGGAGGGCCCAGCCAAGGTCCTCTCCTCCCTCCCCCTGGCACTGCTCCTTAGTTATAGAGCACGTAAATATTTATTACATTCAGAGAATCAGATATTTTATAGAGAAAATATGTTTGAGGCTAGAAGTGTCCACTTGGGGAAGGTGGAGGGTCTCTTCCCCCCCTGGGGCAGGGCCTCTGCCTCCAGAGGCACCTCAGATCCCCGGCGCTGCTCCCAGATTCTTCCTTCCCCGAGATGACAGGTCACGCCCCAGAACAGAGCTGGCTGAGAGCAGCAGGACCTCCCGGAACTGCTGTGTTTGAACTGACACCAGACAGCTCCCTGGACACCGGTGAGAGCCTGGAATCCGGCTCCCCTCCCAAAGACCATCCATCCCGGCAGCCCAGGAAGTCTTGGGTGCCATATGCAATGACGACCCAGAGATGTGCTGTGTAGCGTGCACCACGGCCATTGTGTGAGGCCCCAGGGGCCCGCGAAGGCCAGATAGGCAGGCCCCTTCTCTGGGCCACCCATTCCTGTTCCTGCGGTTGCATCATGGGTTATTTCTTCCTGCAGTCTGGGCCTGGCCGCCAGTGCTGACTGGCTTCCTTGTCGAGTAAGCAGAGCGGGGCATTCAGTTGACTCCACCCTTCAGGCATTGGTACTTGAGTCAGTCAGGTGCCTCCCGCCCTCCTGACCGTCCCTCTCTTCTGTCCACCCCGCCCCGCCCCTCCCTGGGTCCTCAGCGCAGCAGCTGTTGTGCAGTGGAGCAGGAGACCCATTGCCACTCAGCTGCACGTGACCCTTCAGCATTCACAAGGAAAGTGTGCCCAGCGGCACATCCAGCTGTCCGCCTCTCTGGGCCAGAGGGCACCTGTGGCCCACCGAGCCTCTCCCCAAAAGCCTGGCACATCACTGAGGGTCGCCACTCCCTGCCCTCCCCTCCCACTATCAGCTGCTGCCCTGCCCTCCTCCAGAGGCCTTGCATGGAAAGGTCCAGAACAGTCCTCTGGCTCCTAGTCATGGCCTGCAGGCCACAGCCTTCAGGACCCCAAAGGCAAAAAAGGTCAGGGCACACGGCCCGTGAGACAGCCCGACTGTTGGGGCTGGTCATGCCCCCCAGCCCATAATTAAGAGCCCGTATCTTCCTTGGGACAGGACTGGCAGCAGTCACCTGTGTCCCTGTGCCCAGACAAGCACCCTCTCCATCCTCCAGCCCACCTTGTTGGAAATATTGAGCTATACTTTAAGATGTATTCGAGATTTCCAATAAAATTTTTCTGTACTTTACAACTTGCCATAAGTTGGTGACATTCCTTCCCACTGCGCCGTCTTTTACAGGGGCAGGGCCCTGCATGAGACCCTCAAGTGCCAGATTCAGGCTCTCTGCGTCCTCCTCCTGGCCCCTCCAGAGAAGGGACCACCTGTTCCTGTCTCTGGGGTTGGATCCTGGGTTAGTTCCTCCTGCAGTCTGGGTCTGGCCCGTGTCAGACTCAGCCTGCAGGAAACCATGGCTCCAGGGCTGTTCCCCACTGGCCAAGTGCCGGGGTCGATTGGCAGCAGAGTGTGAGGTGTGATGGGTGACTGTGTGGATAGAATGAAGGGGCAGTGGGGGCCAGCCAGGCGCGGGGCTGCGCCCCAAGGAGCCAGGTAAGGGGACCCTGCAGAAAACAATCCACCCACCCTCTGCCCTTGCAGGGCCTCCTCCCGCCTACCAGCCTCCTTGGCCCTGGTATCTCCCAGACAGAAGAGCTACAGAGACCAGAGGGGTCTGCCTGAGCAGCCGCGGCCTTTGTGGACACGGTGCCCCACCCCTTGCTCTGTAGCCTGGCTCCAGGGCAGGCCAGAGGATGGTTTGAAGATTATTCTGGAGCCAGGGAGAGGACTTGAAAAGGGTTAGAGTGCAAACATGCAGGCGCCACAGAGTCTAGCCCCAGCATGGCAGTTCGTCCCTCACCCCCACCCCATGAGCTCCTCCGGGGGTGAGCACCAAGCTTGGAGCAGTCCCTGAACCAAAAATAAATTTAAAAATTCTATCCTGGGGCCCAGAGAGATAGTATAGTAGGAAAGGCATTTCCCTGGCACCCAGCAGACCCTGGTTCAATTTCTGGCGTCTTTTATGTTTTCCCGAGCCCACCAGGAGTAAACTGAACATCGCTGGGTGTGGCCACAAAACAGCAAAATTCTATTATGCCCCATGTGGGACAAAGAAAGGGACCCAGAGCTCTGGTTCAGAGGCCGCACATGAGACAAAACCTGAGCTGCTGTCTATCCCTGGCGAACTTGAGCGCCCACGGTGTCCCCGTGCCGCCTGCGATCCCTCAAGGCTGCACACGGCCTCTTTGAAGCTGGACAGCGAATCGATGCGCGGGTCGTCCAAGTGGATGGCCTCGAAGGTGCCCTCGTGGCTGTAGTGGACCAAGCCCAAGCGGGTGCCTGTGGCGGGAGGGGCGGGAGGGGTGAGTCTTCCCCCTCCCTCTGGTCGCTCTGGGCGGGGCCCCGGGCTGTGCCCTGCCACTGTTCACTCCGCCGGACTTGGGGTCCTTGGCAATGGCGCCAGCCTGTTAACCAGGTTGATGACGAAGTTCTTCTCCAGGGTGAAGTTGGTGTAGCTGATGCTCTCGGAGCTGTCGATGACGAACACCACGTCCAGGGCCCCCACAGTGCTTCTCGCAGTCTGCGCAAGGCGGGCGGCTCAGCAAGGACATGGGAGCCCACCCTGTCGCCCGCCGCCAGGACTCACCGCAGCAGCCACACCTCTCCCGCATGTAGGTCAACAAGTCACACTCCTGCAATACAGCAGTGGAGGTGGCCGCCAGCCGCCCACCTCCCTCCGACCCCACCCACTCGTGAACCCACCCACCCGTGACCCCAAGTCCCTGACCACGCCCACACCCTGACCACTCCCTCCATCAGTCTCGCCCACCTGTGACCATGCCCACTTGTGACCACGCCCACAAAATTCCGGCCACACCCGCCTCCCTTCTGACCAGGCTCAACAGTGAACTTGCCCTCCGTAGGTCATACCTACTCCCAACCCCCTCACTTCTCTGACCCCACCCACCTCTGACCACACCCTCCCCATCTGACCACACCCCCCACAAGGCTGTGCCTACTCCCGACCCTGCCCACCCTCTGACCACGCCCTGTCTGTGACCCGGGTGGGCAGGTGTTCAGGCCCAGCCCAGGCACTTACCCTAAGGTCGGGGTCTCCAGGGGCCCAGGTTGCCCCTGCAGGAGGGAGACATGGGAATGTCAGTGGGCCCTTCTCCACGGGCACTTTGGGGTGCCTGCCACACCCGCCCTGTTCCAGCAGGAGGGCTCAGAGCTGGGTCTCCTACTGTTGGGTACAGAGCGGGACCTGACAGACTTCATGATGGACTCCATTCCTGAAGTCCCTGCTCCATGCCTCTTGTTGCGGTTCCCTGTCCCACACGTTATTTTTCTGGATGGATTGTGGTTCTCAACAATTTGGCTTTCTCAGGGTTGTGCTCCCCCAACTCACCCCCTCCCCTCCTCCCCCGCCATCTGCCAAAGAAGGACATCTGAGTTGATAACTTGGTCTTGGTTCTCAGAATTCTGCTTCTTTCCCCCTGGTTCCCAGAAACCACCCAGACAGGAACAGGGGAGGAGGGAACAACCACCAGAATGGCCGGGAAATTATCAGGATATGACAACCTGTTCGTAATGGCTCATTGTGCTATTTGAAACTAGCATTTTTCTTACATATGTATTTTTATGAGACTGAATGTATTTTTACTTATATCTCCCTTTGAAACTGTAAGCGTGGGCTATGACGCACACACTGACTACAAAAACTGAAGCATCTCCCTTGCTCAGGGTCTTGCTTTGGCCTGACCACCTAAGACCTTGACGCCAGCTAGCTGGCTTGAATAAATTCTGCTTGTGTTTTGCATTACTGGCTGGACTCTTCGTGTGGTTCGGAGAGGGGAGATTATCAATCTCGGATCCTAATACTACCTCAGGTCCTGGGGACCAGGGGACCAGGTTCCCCGGGGGGAGTCCAGGATCTGCCTGCTGGGAAGGGGTGTCACTGCGGGGGCAGGGGCACTGGGTGGCCGAGGGAGTAGGGGCACACAGGGGTGGGACACAGGACACACAGGGTGAGGACACAGGAAACACAGGGGCGAGACACCGGGGAGACACGGGTGGGGGACATGGAGGGACTCAGGGGTACATGGGGGAGGGGATGTGGGGCAGGTGCTCAAAGGCTCGCCCTTCTCACCTTTTCTCCTACTAACTCCTTTCGGCCCTGCAGACACAGACAGGGGTGTGAGCACTTGCAGTGGGGCTGGGACTGGGCTTGGGACTGGTGAGGGGGCTCGTGATACCCCCACCCAATATGCACGCATGAACCTTGACGCCTCAGGGGCCGAGCTCGCCTTTGTCACCCTAAAGAGTGAGCATAGGGGGATTGGCTGTGATTCCACATCATCACCTCTGTACCACCCTGCTGCACCCCTGCCCCTCCCTGTCCCTCCCCCTCCCTCCTACCCCTGCCAGCCCCTCCCCACCTCCCCCTGCCCCAGCCCCTTCCGTCCTCTCTCCCTCCCCACCAGCCCCTGGCACAATGGGGATCTTCCCCTGGACTTCCAGGTTCTCCTCAAGGTGCAGGGTAGCTGAATCCAGGTCTGCCAGGGTTTCCCTGAAGGGTGTGAGACAGACGATCAGACCAGCCTGGGGTCTGCAGGAGGGGAGTGCCCCCTGCCCCCTGCCCCTAGGGCCAGCGCAGGCCCAGCCTCTCCTGTGGGCGAGGTGGGGATTACCTTGGGGCCGGGTGGTCCTGAGTCTCTACAGGGACCAGCATTCCCAGGGTCTCCCCGAGACTCCTGCAGGCAGAAAGTGGGGTGTCAGCACGGACGAAGACCCCAAACCCATATGCCCTCCCTGCATGGGGGCTCATGAGTCAGCCCTGTGGGTCCTGCCCCACTTACCTACTCCCCGGGTACCCCCAGGGCACCTTGGGGTCCTCTAGGTCCAGGCAGGCCTCAGTCCCCCTGCAGAGAGAGCAGCCCCTTGTGGACGTGGGGCCCCAGTGGGCCGAGGTGCCGGGGAGAACAGAGGGTGCCGCACCCCCTCCCCTGGGTGCCCCCCACAACCCACTGACCTTGGATCCTTTGTTACCCATCTCTCCAACCAGGACCCAGGCACCCAAAGGCCCAGGGTCCCCCTGTGAGGAGAGAGGCTCAGCTACAGACAGGCCAGACGCTTGGGGGGGTCCCTTTCTACAGGGGGTGGTGTGACGGCACCCAGACGGGCTCCCCCCCTCCCTGCACTTGGGACCCCGGGCAGACAGGCTAGGCGAGCTGTAGGGCAGAGTACAGGAAAGCTGACCAGGCCATGCTCGGCCTGCCCAGTCTACACGGCATCACACATGTGTCACTCAGCACACGATGCCCTGCTCATGGCACATCACATGGTGCATCACATGCCACTCACAGCAGTCACACATGCCCCTGCTTGCAAGCTGGCTCCAGGGCAGGTGTGGGGTCCCCACAGGCCTGCTCCTGTGGGCTGTGGGGCCCCTCCAGAGGGTGGACACACCTTTTCCCCCTTGGTACCGTCACTGCCTGGGCTGCCCTTGGTCTCGGGGTCTCCTCTGTGGCCCTGCAGGGAAGACATGTGGGTGGGCTCTCAGGGACCCACCCCAGAGACCCTGACTGGGGCCTCTCCTGTACTCAGGAACTGGGCTGGGGGTCTGGTTGGTCTGGTGTGAGCATGTCCCCAGGGCCTGGTGGTCTAGGTGCAGGCTAGAACTCCCTCTCACCCCCGGTGTGTCTCCCAGGGTCTAGGGCACTGTCCACACACGCAGGGTGGGGAGGGAGGCAAGCCAGACACTCCCAGGCTCTCAACGGGGTCCTCGGGGCCCAGGGCCGCCCTTGGCTCCCTTCACGCTGGGGATGCCTGGGGCTACGCTGTTGCCCTGGTAACACTGTGAGGTGGACAGTCAGGACCAGAATCCCGGGCACCCCGCCCCGCGTGGCCCATTGTGGGGCACTTGCCTTGCTCCCTTTGGCCCCATTCTCTCTGGTGGCCCTCCACGTCCAGGCTGGCCAGCATCTCCCTGGACGGTTGGAGCTGTCAGTGTGGCTGTGAGAAACCCAAACTCGGTCGGCCTGAGGGCAGAGCCCCTGGAGACCCCCAAGGGAGGGTGCTCCAGCCACACAGGCCCCCACGACAGACTAGGCTTCCAGGGCAGGTTGACGGTGCGGGCTCCACATGCTCAGAACAGATATTTCACAGCAGGGAGGGCAGCCCCCACACCCCAGAAA